AAAAAAAGAATACAGGCTAAAAGAACAGCTATCATCTTAAACATTGTAGTTTATCATGGCTGAGGAAAAAGAGACTCTGGAGGGTCTCAGACTGACAATGACAAGCTCAGCACAGAAATGACACATTCCAATTCTGCTCACATCTCATTAACAAGTACTGGCAAACACTATAATGACTATGACAAAGATTCAACATCATGAAAACAAAACTGCAATAAATAACATGGACTAGAAGTGACTCATCTATATGTAATCAGTAAAAAAAAATAATAATAACAAAAGTGAGAAACTAAGATGGCAGCAAAGGTAAATACCTAAACTGTCACCTCGCACAACAATTTCAAAACTACAACTGGAAGACAAAACGTCTACCACCCAGAACACAGGAAAGCTGGCTGAGTGGAAGTTCTACAACTAGAAAGAAAGAGAAAATAGCATAAGCACTGAAAAGCTGAGGTACAAAGACACGTGAATTGGGCTGGTGGCAGGTGACTGGGAGAGCTGCTTTTTTTCAACCTACAGGGAGACAAGCTCCCGATTACTCTGAAATCCAGTTTCTGGGGAGCTGCAGGGGACCCAAACTCCTACAGGGAGAAGGTGGACTGTCTGCCATCAGGTCGAAAAGTAAGGGTGACTTTTTTTGCAGAGGTGCACTCAGCAATCTTGTTTACTGTGCTGGAATGTGGGATGCAGGGACTTAGAAATGTGGAAAGGCAGAGAAGACTGACTGGCAGCCATTGCTGTCTGCCATGCCCTAGCCTAGTACACCCTGAGACCCTATCCAGCACATTCTACAAACACACCCAAGCTCCTCACTGTGGCTTTTGCAAATAAATGGGCTGCCTTGTCAAAGTTTAACCAAATAAACTGCAGCTCCAGTCAGACAGCTCCAAAACCTCCAAATCCCAAGCAAAAACTGTAGTTCTTGCTGTAGTTCCTGCTGGGTGGCCTCAGACAGTAGCTGACTTGCACCCCATTAGAGATCCAGAATCTAGTGGTCTGTGTGAGACACCACCAGATTTCAACTACTCTCATAAGAGACACATGCAAGAGGCAGACCCAGTGAGTACCAAAGCCCCATTGGGACAAGTCCTGCCCCATAAACATGTCTCCAGCGCAGCAATTCTTCCATTATAGACACAGTAGGTCCTCACAGCCAATTGGCCTGGAGGTCAATTCCTCCCAGTGACACTAACAATAATCAAGATTTAACTACAACAAGGCTGTACACACAGTCCACAAAGGGGTGCACCAAGAGGGTCCACCCCAGGTAACTAGGAGGCTGACTCATTAGACCATATAGAACACCTAGCACACAAAGCCACCCTACCAACTTAGGGAAGCAGCAAAAATGAGGAGACAAGGAAACAGATCACCAATGAAAGAAATGGAGGAAAACAAGTGACTGGATTTAGACTTCAAAACCACGGTTATACAGTTTTTAAAGAATTTTCTAGAAAAGGCTGATAAATTTAACGAGACCCTCGAGGATATGAAAAAGGACCAACTAGAAATTAAACATACACTGACTTAAATAAAAAAATATTATACAGAGACCCAACCGCAGACTAGAGAAATGCAAAAATCAAGTCAAAGATTTGAAATACAAGGAAGCAAAGAAAATCAACCCGAAAAGCAAAAAGAAAAAAGAATCCAAGAAGTTGAAGGTAGTGTAAGAAGCTTCTAGGACAACTTCAAATGTACCAGAATTATGCGATGCCAGAAGAAGAAAGAGAGCAAGATACTAGAAACCTATTTGAAGAAATTAGTAACCGAAAACTCCCCCACTTGGTGAGAAAAATAGACTTACAAGTCCAGGAAGCGCACAGAACCCCAAACAAAAGGAATCCAAAGAGGACAACACCAAGACACTTCATAATTAAAATGCCAAGGGTAAAAGACAAAGATAATTTTACAAGCAGCAAGAGAAAAACAGTTAGTTACATACAAGGGAGCACCCATACAATTATCAGCTGATTTCTCAACAGAAACTATTCAGACCAGAAGGGAGTGGCAAGAAATATTCGAAGTGATGAATAGCAAGAACCTACAACCAAGATTACTGTATCCTGCAAAGTTATCATTCAGAATTGAAGGGCAAATAAAGAGCTCCACAGATAAGAGAAAGCTAAAGGAGTTTCATTACCACCAAACCAGTGTTGAAATGCTGAAAGGTATTCTTCAAGAAGAGGAAGAAGAAGAAAAAAGTAAAGATAAAAATTATGAACAACAAATACATATCTATCAACAAATGAACCTAAAAATTAAGTGAATTAAAAATTTGAGGAACAGAATAAACTGGTAAATACAATAGAATCAGGGGCATAGAATGGGAATGGATTGATAATTCTTAAGGGGCATGGGGTGTGGGGATGCAGGAAGAGACTGGACAAAATCGTACACCTATGTATGAGGACGGGGGAGGGGGAGAGGTAAGGGCAGAGGGTGGAGTCAGAACCAGTGAGGGGAGTTATGGGGGGAGGAGGAGGAAGGAGAAATAATTGTAATATTCTGAACAGTAAAGATTTATTAAATTTAAGAAAAGAATGCAAAAAAAAGTCCAGATATGTACCTAATTGTTATAAGAATTTATGATTAAGATATGTTTAAATCAGTAGGGGGGAAGGTAGATTATTTTGTAAGTAGTGAGGGGCAACTGGGTAGCCATGTGCGAAGAAAAATCAGATCCATTTCTCACACCAGAATATTGTGAATCAAAGACTTAAATACAATATATATATATATATATATATGTGTGTGTGTGTGTGTGTGTGTGTGTGTGTGTGCGCTGCCGAAGCGAGCACCAAATATTGTACTTAAATATAAAACAAATTTAAAAAATGAATAACCAACCATAAAAATTCTAAGAGACCTAGAAAGGATTTTTTAAAATCACAATTTTTAAAATAGGGTTGTTTTTTTTTAGTTGATTTTAGAGAGGAAAGAAAAGGGAGAGAGAGAGATAGAAACATCAATGATGAGAGAGAATTATTGGTTGGCTGCCTCCTGCACATTCTCTTCTGAGGATCAAGCCCACACAACCTGGTATGTGCCCTTGACCGGAATCAAACCAGAGACCCTTCAGTCCACAGGCCAATGCTCTATCCAAACCGGCTAGGGCTAAAAATCATAATTTTCTACAAAGCAAAAAAGACCAAAAACAGAGTAAAAACAGACAAGTGGGGGGAGATTTATAATTTATTACACAGTCAAGGGGCCAATTTTCCAAATATTTGATCAGATCCCCCAAATGAATTTAAAAAGCAAGTTGACAACCCAAATGAGAAATGGGCAAAGTATTTTAATGGCGTCTTCATAGAAAATGAAATACAGATGGCTCTTAAGTCTAGAAAATGTTGTTTAACCTCACCAATAATAAAAATAGTGACAATTAAAACAGTAAAATGCCATATTTCATCTATTATATTGGTAATGAACAAAATATTTGATAATAGTTTGTGTTAGTCTTGATGTAGGGAAATACCATTTTCCAACACTAACCAATATGTAAATTGGAAAACAATTTGGCAAAAATCTTTCACAATTATAAGACACCCTTTGATACAGAAATTCTACTAAAAATATACATAGTACATATATATATGTGTATACAAGATTGTTCATAAAAGTATATTTTTATAATGCAAAATATTGATAACAGCATAAATATCCATCAGAGGTTAGGTAAATTCTGATAAATCCGGACTTTGAATACTATGGAACTATAAAATCAATGAGTAGACCCTTTATATAGGAATTCCCAATTTATCTAACACTTAATACCTAAGTTGGATTATGAAAAAAAAAAAATCAAACATAGTAACTTTAAAATATGCAAAAATGGGGATAAAAGAGCATAGTACTTTTCTACATATGCAGAAAATGTTATGCATATGCATTAGTAGCCCTGTGGAAGAGGACTAAAGATTAGGATAGGATTATTAGGGAGACTTGTCACTTTATCTCATTTGGATTTTTAAAATATTGTACCCGGTGAATTCCACTTATTTTTTAAAATTTAAATAAAACTAAGGAAAAAGGACGTAAGAGAACTGGAGATTGACCAGAAACATGTTATTTAAAATTCTCGAATGGATTAAAAAAGCAAACAAAACTAGGGATATTCAGTTTAGAAAGAACAAACTACAGACAAATATAGAGTAAAACATTTTCCAGCAATCTCAGTTTAAGCTTTGAAATTAAAAGTTCTGATTATATCTTGAATAAGTCTTTCTTTTGCACCTTGTTATTTCAATCCGTAGTTATCAAATGAATTCTGTCCTCAAAAATGTAAATTTATTGAGAGCAGGGTATTTCGTTTTATTCACTGCTATATCTAGCAACTAGAATAATGCTTGGCACATAGGAGGCATTCAGTAAACATGTGCTGAATAAATAACATAGTTCTTTCTATATTTAATGATAACCTCTGTATTATAGGTTTTAGTTTAGCTTCTTGTAATTTAAGGTTAAAAAACTTCCCCAAAATAATAAGTTGGTAACCTCAAAACACAAATGCTGAGGATGGCAGGCCAGTTGTCCCTTTCCCTGCCCTATTTCTGATATTTTCAATTTTTAAAAATCAGGATGAGGACCTGTTTCTTTCAGGTCACTCCAGCGGTCAAGTTGCCGTGGCAACACCTTATACATAACATGCCATCTCCCATTTTAAGAATCATAATCTTCTGGTGAGCCCAAGATGTTGTAAGAAATTCAGAATAACTGGAAGCATCTCTAAACTTTTGAAGTAGATATTATGGGGATCAGCCATGATCCACAAAATTTATCTTGGCATCTCTGCTAGATATATTATATGATATTTATTTTCTAAAAAAGATCTCTTATTGCTATCTTAAATAGGCTTCCATCCCACAGACCTACCATAGGATAATCTTTTAGAACACCTGATCTCACAAGTATGAACATACTTATAGGGCAGTGTGGGAGGATATTTGAAATCAGGACTAAACCAGAAGTCAACATGTAATAGTTACATCTACCTTGCACGCTGGATCAGCCTATAGGCAATGTACTTGCGGAATAGGTATCCCAGCCGAACTGTGTCTGTATGAAGTGTCTCAATTATGAGATTTCTAGCTGTTGTATATAGCTCTGAAGGGAGTCCAGAAGTTTCTGTGGTTTGATTTAAGAGTATCAGGTTCTTCCTTTGAGCCTTCACATCAACAAAATACCTCTGCTCTTTGAGCTCTTGGAAAGAGGAAGAGGGTATCGTCATCTTGAGTTTCTTGGTATCTGAAACTGAAGTCAGTACACAGGGCTTACTTATAGGGGGGAATCGGGATTTCCAGTCCCATTCGGATGGTGAAATCTGTGATCTTTTGGGTAGTTGAGTAGTAAGAGGAGGTAGTGATGTTATAGGCTTCGTGCGAGCGGGAAGGGGCCCCTCAGTGTAAGGAGTTTGTGATACTGGTGTCCTATAATTGGTGAGATAGGACTGAAATGTCCCAAGTTGTTCCATAGCAAAAGAATCTTGGAGTTCCTGGATTTCTTTAGAAGTGTCAGAAACCTCTGATATTTGGAACTTCTTAGTGGTGAAAGGGGTTTGCGGTACCTTGAAATGTGGAGCACTGGGATGGACCAATTCTGATTTAGGTTTCAGAAACAAATCTTTTGGGGGCTTTCCAAGAGTTGAGGGGGCCTGTAGTGTTGATGGATATCCAGGGCTAGGAGAGATCCACAGTGGGAAAGCTTGCCCAGGAAGGGTCCGTGGTGCCAGAAGCTGCCCAAGGGCAGAAGGGGCTTGTAGATAGGGAGATTGCTCACGGGTAGTAGGGAGCTGAAATGCCTGGGGCTGCTCAGAGAAGGTTGAGCGTCCAGATTCCGTGAGCTCCCCAGGGACAGAAGAGGGCCAAGGAATCAAAGGCTTCCCAGGAAAGAGCGGATCCCAGAGACTGGGAATCTGTGAAGAGGTGGATGGAATCCCGGATATAAGAGGAACCTTTGATACCAGAGGTGCCTGAGGAGTCAGAGAGTCCCTAGGTATGAGGAACTGCCTAGGGCTAAGAAGGGAATCCAGTGGGAGGGGCTGCCCTGGAGTGGGAGGGGTCCCAGATACTGGAAGCTTCCCAGGGATGGGAGGGACCTCTGGTGCTAGGAACTGCACAGGGGTGAATTGACCCTTAGAAACCAGTGTCTGTTTAGAGGAAGGAAGTGGTGCCAGGAGCTTCTGACTAGTTCTTCTAGTGGCTGGCCCAGAAAGGAAAGAAGTCTTTGATTCTTGAAATGGTTTAGGAGTGGAAGGAGTCAATATGGTGGACAACTTAGGCATGTAAGGAGCACTTCGTTTGATGGATTTATCGGGAATAGAAAAGATCCCACCTTCCAGGGTTTGTCCTGAAGGAGGACCAGCCCAGACTTGTGAAAACTGCTCATTAATGGGAGGAGCTCTTGATTCTAGACTCTGCCTAGACATGTGAGTAGTACCCATGGGCTGGGCCTGTCCTGGGGTGAAGGGAGCTCCCAAAGGCTGAACTTGCTCATGGGTAGGGGGAGATCCTAAGTCATGGGCTTTATCTGAGGTGAGAGGGACCCCCTGAGACTGCTCAGGCCTAAGAGTTAAAGGAATTGGAATTCCAAGTGCCTGGGCCTGATTCAGAAGTAAAGGAGTGCCAAATGACTGAGCCTGTTCATAGGTGGGAGTGATCCCCAATGCTTCGCTCTGCTTAAGAGAAAGAGTGTGTGATACTTCCTGAACCATTTCTGGAGTGATAGACCCCCACAATCTCCAGGCCTGTTCTGCAGTGAGAGGGGTCTCTAATGCCTGAGCCTGGTCAAGGGTAAGTGGGATCCCCAATACTTGTACCTGCTCAGGGGTGAGGGGGATACCCTCTGCCAGGGCTTGTTCATTGGTATGTGTGATAGCTGAAATCTGCGCTTTCTCTGGAGTAAGAGTGAACATCAGTGCCCGTGTCTGGGCCTCTGTCTGCTGTGGTGTGACAGTGACTCCCAACGCCTCATCCTGGCCTTGAGTGAAAGGGACACCAAGTATTTGGGCCTGTTGAGTAGTCACAGGGATCTGCATTGCCTGGATCTGTTCAGAAGTGGCAGGTGCCTTTAGAGTCTGGCCCTGAGTAGGAGTAATATGGTCCCTCAATGTCCCTTCTTGCTGGAGAATGACAGGAGCTCTCAATGCTTGGTCTTGTTCATGTGTGAGTGTGACTCTCAACTCCTGGGATTTTTCAGGTGTGAGGGTAACCATCAGTGCCTTTATCTGCTCATGGGTAAGAGTAATGTCCTGTCCCTGTGCCTGCTGAGGGGTGAGAGTGATGCCCAAAGCCTGGGCCTGCCTAGGAGTGACAGTGATTCCCTGGTCCTGGTCCTGGGCCTGGGCCTGGGCCTGCTGAGGGGTGAGAGAAAAGCCCAATGACTGGGCCAGCTGAGGGGTGAGTGTGATTCGTTGTGCCTGTGCCTGTTCAGGGGTGAGAGTGATGCCCAGAGCCTGGGCCTGCCTAGGAGTGACAGTGATTCCCTGGGCCTGGGCCTGGGCCTGCTGAGGGGTGGCAGTGATGCCCTGGGCCTGGGCCTGCTGAGAGGTGAGTGTGATTCCTTGTGCCTGTGCCTGTGCCTGTGCCTGTGCCTGTGCCTGTGCCTGTGCCTGTTCAGGGGTGACAGTGAGGCCCTGTGATTGGTCCTGCTGAGGGGTGGCAGTAATGCCCTGTTTCCGGACCTGCTGAGGGGTGGCAGTGATGCCCAGTGCCTGGGCCTGTTCAAGGCTAACAGTGAGTCCCTGTGCCCGGGCCTGCCGAGGGGTAAGTATAATGCCCAGTGCCTGGGCCTGCTGAGGGGTGACAGTGATGCGCTTTGCCCGTGCCTTATGACGTGTGAAAGTGATGCCCAGTGCCTGGGCCTGCTGAGGGGTGAGAGATATTCTACGTGCCCGGGCATGCTGATGAGTGACAGTGATGCCCAGTGCGTGGGCCTGCTTACGGGTGAAAATGATGCCCAGTGCCTGGGCCTGCTGAGGGGTGACAGTGATTCCTTGTGCCCAGGACTTCTGAGAGTTGAGAGGGATGCCCAGTGCTTGGGCCTGTTGACGGGTGAGTGTGATTCCCCGTGTCCGGGCCTTCCGAGGAGTGACAGTAATTCCCTGTGTCCGGGCCTGCTGAGGGGTGACAGTGATTCCCTGTGTCTGCTGAGGGGTGAGTGTAATGCCCTGGGCCTGGGCCTCCTGAGGGGTGAGTGTGATGCCCAGTTCCTCAGCCTGCTGAGGGGTAACAGTGATGCCCTGGGCCTGGGCCTGCTGAGTGGTGAGAGTGATGCCCAGTTCCTCAGCCTGCTGAGGGGTGACAGTGATGCCCTGGGCCTGAGCCTGCTGAGGGGTGAGAGTGATGCCCAGTTCCTCAGCCTGCTGAGGGGTGAGAGTGATGCCCTGGGCCTGAGCCTGCTGAGGGGTGAGTGTGATGCCCAGTTCCTCGGCCTGCTGAGGGGTGACAGTGATGCCCTGTGCCTGGGCCTGCTGAGGGGTGAGTGTGATGCCCAGTTCCTTGGCCTGCTGAGGTGTGAGAGTGATGCCCTGGGCCTGAGCCTGCTGAGGGGTGAGAGTGATGCCTTGGGCCTGGGCCTGGGCCTCCTGAAGGGTGAGTGTGATGCCCAGTTCCTCGGCCTGCTGAGGGGTGAGTGTGATGCCCAGTTCCTCGGCCTGCTGAGGGGTGAGAGTGATCCCCTGTGCCTGAGCCTGCTGAGGGGTGAGTGTGATGCCCAGTGCCTCGGCCTGCTGAGGGGTGAGAGTGATGCCCTGGGCCTGTGCCTGAGCCTGCTGAGGGGTGAGTGTGATGCCCAGTGCCTCGGCCTGCTGAGGGGTGAGAGTGATCCCCTGTGCCAGGGCCTGCTGAGGGGTGAGTGTGATGCCCAGTGCCTTGGCCTGCTGAGGGGTGACAGTTATGCCCTGTGCCAGGGCCTGCTGAGGGGTGAGTGTGATGCCCAGTGCCTTGGCCTGCTGAGGGGTGACATTTATGCCCTGTGCCAGGGCCTGCTGAGGGGTGAGTGTGATGCCCAGTTCCTGGGCCTGCTGAGGGGTGAGTGTGATGCCCAGTTCCTCAGCCTGCTGAGGGGTGAGTGTGATGCCCAGTGCCTGGGCCTGCTGAGGGGTGAGTGCAATTCCTTGTGCCTGTGCCTGTTCTGGGGTGCGATGAAACCCCAGTTCCTTGGCTTGCTCGGGAATGACAGTTACTTGCTGTGTTTCAGCCTGCTGAGGGGTGACAATGGCACCCAGTCCCCTGTCCTGCTGAGGAATAAGACTTATCCCCTCTCCTTGGACTTGGAGCTGTTGAGATCTAAGAGTGATGCCCAGTGCCTGGGCTTCCTCAGGGGTGACAATGAACCCCAGTCTCTGGGCCTGCTCAGGAGTGAGACTTATCCCCTGGGCCTGGGCCTGCTGAGGAGTGACAGTGATGCCCATTGCCTGGGCCTGTTCAGGAGAGAGAATGATGCCCTGGGCTTGGGCCTGCTCAGGAGAGAGAGTGAAGTCCTGGTCCTCAGCCTCCTCATGAATGACAGCCAGGGACTTTGTAGGATACTGTCCAGGAATAGACAAGGGCCCAGGTGAGGAAAACTGTGTCAAGGTGGAAGGAATGGCTGGTTCGAAGTACTTTTCATCAGCAAGCTTCATAAGGAACTCTTTTTTTTTTTGTAACTGGAATGCTGCTTTCCATGTGTCCTTCCATCTGGGAGTCAATGTTATTGAAGCGTAACTTAACATATTTTGTAGATTTTCAGGTATTTCCTTCTTAATCTTCTTCTGCTCCTTTGTTTTTTTAGGCCACTGACTTTCATCATCCTCCCCCTTTCTCTCTGGCTTCTGCTTCTCTTCCTCTTCCTTCCAGCTGCTTTCCAGCTCCAAATGTTCCACTTCCTTCTGAATCTCCTCAAACGACACTTCTTGCTCTTTCATTTTTTGCATCCATGCTTCCAGGGGTTGCTGCTTTTGCTTCTGCTGTTCTTCCTCTCCCATTCCCTTTTGCATCTCATCTTGCTCAGTCTGCTTTTGCATCCTCTGTTTTTGAAGTAGCACCAATACTTCTTTCTGCCATTGTTTCTCCTTCTGCTGCTCTTGCTTTCCCTCCTTCATCTGCAGCCATGTAATTTTCTCTTCCAAACGCTTACTTATCTTTTCATATTTCATCTTCCATAAATTCCTTTCTTCTTGTAACTGCTGTTGTTTAAGATTCATATTCAGAATTTCTCCTTGAACTTGCAAATATTTCTCCTGCCTCTGTTTTTTCTTCTCCTGGTGGTCTTTCCCTGCTATTGCGACTACTGGAGCATCTTCTTCCTTTTCTATTTCAGTCAAGATCTCCTGTGTTAAATTTTGTATTACTGGGTCCATGCTCTCAGATGAAAGTAAGGAGCTAATTTCAGACTTTGCACTAATTGGCCTCTGTAAATCTAGCCCTGGTATAAACGAGCCTTGTTTTTGTTTCATTTGTTTCTCTCTAATTTGTTCTTTTTTAATGTCTTTGTATTTTCTCAAGATTTTTGCTACAGCTCCAGCCACATTTTGGAAATATTCTTCCATTTTTGTCTTTATGATTCCTAATTTTTCAACTTCTGCTTTTTTTAATAATAACTCTCCTTCTGGCACAGTCTTTTTATCCAAAGGAGTTCCTGTGTTATCAATTTTCTCTTTTAAGAAAGACATTATGGCGTTATGAAATTCATCTAGATTATCCTGTTCACTTTTGCCATCTGGACTTCCTGGAGCTGTAGTAGATTCTGAAGTCTCTTTAGTTATCTTAGATTGTGATTCAGCAAGTTCATGAGACTTGACCTTCTTGGTAAAGACTGATGTGTCCTTCTCTTCAGTTTTTCCTTCTTTGCTTGTGGTAATTTCTGAAGAGACTTGATGTTCCTTTTCTTTTATTTTCACTTTCTCAGAAGATTTATCAAGTTGAGTTATCCCCGATGACTCTGCTTGGAAACTCATAAGAGATTTGCTCTCTTTGTTCATTAACTCGGTGGTGGATTTCTTTTTATGCCCTGAAATAACTTGGTCTTTTGAAATTATATATGCAAGTTTCTGCTTCCTGAGTCGTTCCCACTTACTAGTTCTACTTTTGCCACCTTGGCTCTTTGTGTCAGTAGAAGGGAATTTCAAAAGAACACGTTGACTTTTTGATCCAATGAATGACTTTGATTTGTCTACAGAAAGGAGTTGTACTTCTTGACTTGTTTTTTGCTCTACTTGTAGCCCTTTGGTCTCTGAGACTATTTGTTTACTTGTCTGATTAGTCAGACTTGATCTAGAGGTCTCAAGCTCATATGAGGCTTTTGAGATCTTCCTTTCCTGTGATTGATACTCATCAGTCCAATCTTCCTTCAGTGATATCTTATCTTCAGTGATATCTTTGGAAGATATTTTGGGGGGTTTTTCAGGTAAAGAAGATTGCTGATCAATTAAACCTGCAGTCATTTCAACTTGGGATGTATGTGAAATTGCTGAGTCCCACTTGAACACTGAGCCTTTGGTCCCCTTTCTTTGGGCCTTCCCCAAAGTATTTTTATATTCTTTGATCAAAATATTGTCTATACTCTCTTCTTTATCAGTCTGGCGAAAGCCCTTGGGTGATTGTGGAGAAATCCCAGATAACACTTTCAAGGTTGATGAGGGCCATGCTTTGAATTTAATAAGCTGCTCACATTTTTCTTCTGCATATTTAAGTTTCTGCTGAAGCATTTCATTTTCTTCACTGAGCTCTTTTATTACCTGCAGGGAGGTCTCTCTTCCCCCTTCCTCGCTTATATACACATCAGGAGAGAGGTTAGTAACTTTTACTTCATTATTTAGTGAAGTCAATGCTTTAGAAAGATTTGATATTGTTGATGCTATATAGTTAATAGCATTGTTTTCCAATTTATTGAACATTGTAGTATCTATGAGTTCCTGTAGCATGTAGTTGATTTCTGAAACCTTTGTATTTGTTGCAAATTCATCACTGATCATCTGATTTGGTGTTAAAGCCTGGGCTGTTGCAGGTCGCTTTAAAACTCTATCTTTCCAGGATTTCCATAGACTTTTTCTAGGTGCTAGAAGAAGAAAAACCAAAAAACACAAATGATGAGACTGTATTTCTTTTTTTGTGTTGTGTCCTATGGTTAAGCCTAAGGAAGTTAGAATAAATTAACATATAGCTGAAGGAAACAACTATGATGATAATTGCTCATCAAACATAACATATCAATAAAGATATGAAAATCTAGTAGAAAAAAAATAGAGCTGAATAGTATAATAACTAAAATGAAAAGTTAGCTAAGAGGGCTCAAAGTAGATTTGAACTAACAGAAGAAAATAACCAGAAAACTTGACGCTTGATTAGTAAAAGTTGTCTAATCTGAGGCACAGGGAAAAGAAAGAAAAAAGAAAAATGAACAAAGCCTCAGAGACAAGTGGCACACCATTAAGCATACTGATGTACAAATAATAGAAACCCCAGAAGAGGAGAGAAGTACATTAAAATTATTTGAAGAAGTGCCTTGGCCAGTGTGGCTCAGTTGATTGATCATTGTCCCATGCACCGGTTGGATTCCTGGTCAGGGCACATGCCCAGGTTTTGTCGATACTTAGTAGGAGGCATTCAGGAGGCAGCTGATATGTTTCTCTCTCATCGATGTTTTTCTCTACCCCTCTCCCTTCCTCTTTCTCAATAAAAAAACATATTTAAAAAAAATTATTTGTATAAGCATACCAATGGACACAGACACAGGAGTAAGGGCATGAGTAGGGTGTGGGGGGATAAGGACACATATGTAATACCTTAATCAATAAAAATAAATAAATTTAAAAAATATTTGAAGAAGTAATGGCCAAATCATCCAAATATATATACATATAGTGGCCTGGTGCACGAAATTCGTGCACCCTCCTCTCCAATCTTGGACCCTTCAGGATGTCCAACTGCAAGTTTAGGCCCAATCTAAACTGGCAGTCGAACATCCCTTTCACAATCCGGGACCACTGGACTCCCTGCTGGGCAGCCTCCAAGCTGGGTGGCACTGTAGGCCTATGCGTGCCTCCACCAGTGGCCACTTTTGCTTCGAAGGTTGCTTCCACTGGGGGCCACTCCCAGGCTAGGCAATGCGGTGTGCCTGCTTGTGGCCTCCAGGCTGGGTGGCACAGCATGCCCACTCATAATCCCCAGCTGGGCAGCTTCCAGGCTGGGCGGTACTGTGAACCTGCACATGCCTCCACTGGTGGCTGCTATTGCCTGGGGCTGCTCCCAGGCCAGGCCTGACTGGTCGTAACTATTACGTGCCTGACCAGTCGTGACTGTTACAGCGTCTGGGCTAATTAGTATATCCCTCTATTATTATATAGGATAAATTAGGAATATATATATACCGTGTTTCCCTGAAAATAAGACATCCTCTGAAAATAAGACCTAGCACATGAAAAGATAAGACATCCCCTGAAAATAAGACCTAGCGCATCTTTGGGAGAAAAAATTAATATAAGACATTGTCTTATTTTCGGGGAAACAGGGTATATATACAATATATTTGAGATTTAGTTTCAGAGGGAAAGTTTCTCTTCTTAATATCTTAATATTGATTTCAGAAAGAGGAAGGGAGGGGAAGAGAGGTATGGGAACATCAATGATGAGAGAAAATCATTGATTGGCTGCCTCCTGCCCACCCCTCACTGGGGATCAAACTTGTGCATGTGCCCTGACTGGGAATTGACCTACCGGTATGACTTCCTGATTCATGGGTTGATACTCAACCATTGAGCCATACCAGCTGGGCAAATTATCCAAAATTTTATGAAAAACATTAATTTACACATTCAAAAAACTCAGCAAATTTTAAGTGGACAAACACAAAATAATCTATATTAATAAAAAGGTAATATGCTAATTAGACCGGATGTCTTCCGGACGTCCTTCCTGACAAAGCTGGAGCCCAGGCAAAGCTGCTCTGGGTCCTGGGTGGCTGCAGCCAGCTTGGAGGGAGGGAAGCCTGGGTTCCAAGTGTGGAAGCCAAGGCAGAGGTGGTTAGGGGTGATCAGGCAGGCAGGCAAGTGGTTAGGAGCAATCAGGTAAGCAGACAGAGGCAATTAGGAGCAATAAGTCAGGCAGAAGAGTGGTTAGGGGAGATCAGGCAGGCAGGCAGAGTGGTTAGGGATGATCAGGCAGGCAGGAAGGCAAGCATTTAAGAGCCAATGGTCCTGGATTGTAAGAAGGATGTCCAACTACTGGTTTAGGCCCAATCTGTGGGGATTCCTGCAGGACTAGGCCTAAACCAGCAATTGGACATCCCCCAAGAGGAAACCCCCCCAATGCATAAATTTTGTGCACTGGGCCTCTAGTAAGTAGATAAAATGAGGAGAAAGGTGGTTATAGAAAAAAATTAAAATAAACAAGATAAAATAAAGACACAAAAATATAGAAAAATGATTCATCCCAATAAAAAGAGACTAATCAAGTATAGGAGAACTATAGCTCACTCTTTATCAGAAAAAATGGAGGCCAGAAGGAAGTGGGATGGTATATTTAAAGTGCTGAAAAAATTATACTGCTAACCAAGAATCCTATACCCAGCAAAACTATTAAAAAGTGAAAGTAAGCCTGGCCAGAATGGCTCAGTGGTTGAGCACTAACCTATGAATCAGGAGGTCATGGTTTGATTCCCAGTCCGATTCCTGGTCAGGGCACATGCCCAGATTGCATGCTCAATCCCAAATGGGGGGTGTGCAGGAAGCAGTCAATCAATGATTCCTTTTCATCATTGATGTTTCTCTTTCTCTCTCTCACTCTCTCTTCCTCTCTGAAATCAATAAAAATATATCTTTTTTTTTTTAAGTGAAGATAAGCCTGGCTGGTATGGCTCAGTGGTTGAGTATCAATCTATGAACCAAGAGTCACTGGTTCAATTCCCGGGCAGGGCACATGCCTGGATTTGGGCTTAATCTCCAGTAGGGGGTGTGCAGGAGGCAGCCAATCTCTAATCCTCTACTTTCCTCTCTCTCTAAAAATCAAAACATTTTTTTACAATATATTTATTTCAGAGGAGACTGGAGAGAGAGAAAGAGAGAGAGAGAGAGAGAAACATCAATGATGAGAAAGAATCATTGATTGGCTACTTCTTGCATGCCTGCAATGTGGATATGTGCCCTGACCAGGACATAGAGTGATGACCTCCTGGTTTATAGTTCAATGCTCAAGCACTGAGCCATGCCAGCCAAGCACTAAAAACATATTTTTTTAAAATATATATTTTATTGATTTTTTACAGAGAGGAAGGGAGAGAGATAGACAGCTAGAAACGTTGATGAGAGAGAAACATCGACCAGCTGCCTCCTGCACACCCCCTTCTGGGGATGTGCCCGCAACCAATGTACATGCCTTTGACCAGAATCGAACCTGGGACCTTTCAGTCCACAGACCGATGCTCTACCACTGAGCCAAACCAAATTCGGCTAAAAACATATTTTTAAAAAATACTTTTAGCCGAAACTGGTTTGGTCTGAAGGGTCCCAGGTTCAATTCCAGTCAAAGCATGTACCTAAAAACGTATTTTAAAAAAATACTTTTAGCTGAAACTGGTTTGGCTCAGTGGATAGAGCATCAGTCTGCGGTCTGAAGGGTCCCAGGTTCGATTCCAGTCAAAGCATGTACCTTGGTTGTGGGCACATCCCCGGTAGGGGGTGTGCAGGAGGCAGTTGGTCGATGTTTCTCTCTCATCGATGTTTCTAGTTCTCTGTCCCTCTTTCTCTCTCTTTCTCTCTGTAAAATATCAATAAAATATATATTTTTAAAAAATACTTTTAAAATGAAGGTAAGACATCCGTTCTTCAGATTAACACTCTTCCCAAGGTAGCCTGTATTTACAACTCTTACAACCATTTTTATTGCATGTGTTTTTAAACACTTCTCTAAATGCATTACATAATGTTTATAACATTGATTCCATGAAATAACATGCTTTTTAAAATAGCACACATATATAACTCTTATAAAACAATAAAGGTAAAAAATAAGATATACAGATGGCAAGTAAGTATATGAAAAGATGTTCAGTATCATCTGTCATTAAACAACTGCAAATTACAACAATGGGATACTGTCATACACCTATTAATACCAAATGTTGACAAGGATATGGGGCAACAGGAACTCTTGCTTATTAATAGTGGTAATAAAAAATGGTATAATACTTGAAAGACAGTTTGGCAGTTTTTTACAAAGTTACTTACAAAGTAATGTTGTCTAAATGTTCCAGTAATCATACTCCAATAAATTTACCCAATAAATTTGAAAATTTATGAACACACACACAAAATACTTGCATAAGAAAGTTTATAACTTTATTTATATATATAACTGATTTCATAGAAGGAGAGAAAGATAAAAACATCAATGATGAGAGGAAATCATTGTTTGGCTGCCTCCTGCATGTCCCACACTGGGAATCGAGCCTGCAACCAAGGCCATATGCCCTTACTTGAACCATGGCCTCCTGGTTCATAAATTCATGTTCAACCACTGAGCCTTTCAGGCCAAGCAACAACTTTATTCTTAAACACAAAAATCTAGAAGCAACCAAGATATCCTTCGATAGGTGGATAAACAAGCTGTGATACATCTACACAATGGAACATTATTCAGCAATAAAAATAAATAAGTTATTAAGACACAAAAATACATGGAGAAACTTTATTTTTTCTTTCTTTCCTTATTTTTTTATGGAGGAACTTTAAATGTATATTCTCAGTGATAGAAATCAGTTGGAAAAAGCTACATACTGCATGATTCTAACCATATGATATTCTTGAAAAACATTAATTTTAAAAATTAGTGATTGCTGTCTGGCTGGTGTGGCTCAGTGGTTGAGCATCAACCCATGAACCAGGAGGTCACAGTTTGATTCCCAGTCAGGGCACATGCCTGGGATGTGGGCTCAATCCCCAGGGTGGGGTGTACAGGAGTCAGCCAATCAATTGATTTTTCTATCTTTCCCTCTTCTTTCCTTTCTGAAATCAATAAAAAATATCTTTAAAAAAATCAGTGATTGCTTCCCAACTGGTGTTG